GAGGGGAGAGGTTACAATGTTAGATTGGTTCTTGATCGAGTAGCACCGGATGGCGTACCCGGCTACCTCGATCGCGGCGCCGAGCACGACGCAGACGAAGAACCAGGCGCGGTGCTTGATCAGGGTCTGGTGGGTGAGCCAGAGGAAGACGATACCATAAAGAATGGTGGCGAGGATGGCGAGGGCGAGGGAGGGGGGGTACATCCATGCTGATTCGGCCATTGTCTCTCTCTGTTGTGGTTATGGTTCCTGCTTGGTTGTCTGGTGGTGGTTGACGACGGCGTTGTAGGCTCGGATAGGGATTAGAGGTATCGACTGGATGGGCTGATGTTTGCAAGATTTGTGGGCGGTGATGGTTCTTCACCAGAACTGCTCCTAGGAGATATGATGTTGATGAGGACGAGGGGATGAGGATGATGATATATATACCAGATCAACGATTCGCCTCGAGAAGAAGGGAGGAACACCGAGTGCTTTATATATGATGACTAGGACCATGTCGGCGGCATCATCGCGTTCAAACCAACCGGTTGTGTCTTGCGACTCGCGTTGGCGTTTAGCTGGGGGACCGGTTCGGCCATGTAGAGACCCATTTCTTCTTCTGTTTCAAAGCGTAAGCGGAGGAACTGTTTTTGCAAGGGCAGAATGTATCAAGCAGAGCAAGTCATCGGTCGGATTAGATGCGAGCGCTGGCGTCGTTCAGTCTTCTGTCGTCCTGGGTTCGAGTCTTGGCTTTTTATCTTGGCGTCTTGTTCTTGCGTGTCTGGACGGTGGCTCGGCTTGGAGTCGTGTGTCAGGATGAATTATTTGGCCGCAATTTGATATCTTGCGGTCTCCTTACCCTTGGAGTGTTGTAAGTCGGGGATTGACTAGGGAGGGGGATATTGAGTGGTGGAAAGGAGGCGCTCGGATGATTGGCCCGCTGCATGAGCGACGCAATCGCGGGATGTGAAAGCGAGGAATGCGAGGAGCATAACGAGACATGGGCATGCCCACCACCTGGAAGCCAACTCTCTGCGAGTGGTACTTGAATGTTCACATACGGAACTGGCGTCGTGTGCATGTATTTTTCGTCGATAATAGCAGCATTAGCTTGGCGCCTTCTATGCTCTTGCCAGTTTGACGCGATGCCCGTGAGTCGATGTCGTCTTTGTGGACGGGTTGTCTGTAGACTGGTTGTCTGTAAACTAATACACATTGTATTTGATGATGCAAAAAGTTTCCATCATCCTTGGTTCCCGTTATCCCTCTCGACAATCCTCCTCTTTGGGGCTTGGGCGGGAAGTAGCTTAACGGGACATGCGATGTCTCGGACCAGATCTGGAAAGAGCAACCCAAATTTTCACAGGAACCAAGTATCCAGTATCCCCTCTCACATTTTTGAGTCAACGATAAGCATTGGCTGGGTCTTGCAAGACACCAGTGATTAATATTATTAACTCGACAACGGATCCGACAGATACATGACAGCCTACTCGTAGACGAACTCGACATTGAAGGTGAGGCTCTGGCAGTTGATCTCACTAGTCGCCGCGTAGATACTCGGGGCCATGTTGGAGTTAGTATCGATGATGCCGTTGCACATGTACATGAACAGTGCCTTTCCCCCAATGCCGACGGTCCCCGACATCGTGCCGTGCTGCAGATCGATGATGAGCGGGAAGTAGTCGTACGGTCCGCTCGTCTGCATGTCGAGGATGGCCGCCTTGGTGGACCACGGGATGAAATTGCCCACTCCTGGCTGGTCGGGCCAGTAGGCCGGGTGGTAGAAGCAGTACCAGTCGTTGCCGTCCTTATTGTAAGTCAGGTGGCCGTCGTCGTCGTACTGGAAAGCAACCGCGGCGGTGGCGTCCGAGGTTAGGTACACCCTGTTCCCCTGCTGGAACTTGGTGCCCGTCAGATATTGCTTATGGCTGGGGTCCGAGTCGGGCGAGTAGGAGAGCTTGAAGAGGGACGGCGTCGGCGGCGACACGACAAGCGTGGTGGTGGACGCGGTGCTAGTCGACGTCGTTGTTGTCATTGTCGTTTCCGTCACCAGGTCGGTGGTCGTGGTTGACTCGGTCGTCGTCGTGTCCACGGTCGACGTGGCTGACAAGGTCGACGTGCCGCCCGGTACCGTCGAGGTCAGCTTCCGTACGCACTTGGGCGCGCTCAAGCAGCTGCACGCGCTGCTCAACGACGGCTCGGGCATGCCACCATTAAAAACATCATCGAGCGTGCCGACAGATGTGACGCGAGCCCGGAGCTTGAGGGTGAGCGGCTCCGCAGTCGAAGTGCTGGTCTCGGTGGCGACGATCCCCTTGATCATAGTGTTGACCTTGGTCGTCGTGGTGGTGACGGTGCCGTCCGTGATGGTCGTGACCTCGGTGAGCGTCTGCGTCACCGTCTCCAAGGCGGTCGCCGTCCTACATTTGTTAGCCTGCCGTAGACATGTCCAGAGACAGACTTACTCGGCCGGGGCGGTCACGGTGGCCACAAATGTCGTCTCGACGCCGACGCCGAGAAACTGGCGACACCCGTGGATGGCGTCGAGCTTGACCTCTCGGAACATGTTGAGCAGGTCATCGGCCTTGCAGATGTTGGGGGCCGGGACATCCGGGAGGGGCGGCAGTCCCGCAAGGAGGTCATCGAACATGCCACCGAGAGCCACTCCAGGGAGGAGGGCTGACAGAAGAAGAGAACGCATGGCTTCAGGGAGCGTGTTGAAAGAGCGACTACAGTGGGATGTCCCGACACGCATCCGTCACGGATGAGGGCCAGGCGCCAACATATAAAGGCATATAAAATACAGGCCGCAAGTATTGAGCGCGCCAGGGGGGATTGGAACTTGTCATCTCCCAGAAGCAATGGTTCCAGCCTCAAGGTTCTAGACGCCAGCCGGGGGGCCTGCTCAATGCCGGGTGTAGCGCCGGCCATCACCGATCCGGAGCCGCGCTAACGGGGAAAGTGGCGGGATGGAATTGACGGATCAATAGTCGGGGCACTTTTTGCGGTGCGATCCGATGGTTTGGGTTTTCAGCTGGAGCTAAGGGTCGGTGGCGTCTTGGTTGAAAGAGTACTTCGAAATCTGGCCAATCGGAGGATGACCCTCGGATTTGTTTACAGGTCTTGGCAAGTTCGACCCCTTTTTCCCTTCTGCAGAGCACAGGCAGGGGCACGGGATCTGAGGTCCTCACCAACACGCAGACCAACAACACAAAGCGAGCTGGAATTCTTTAAAGACAGGGTAGGTACTTGGGTATTAAAGACTCTCTTGGATAACTCTCGACCCGTACGCAGGATCTGCCGCCGAGGTTCCTTTGCCCGCTGCAGAAATGGGCATCTATGTATTGTATATACGGCAGCTCCCATCCCGACATGAATCATCAGTCCACCGACGAGAAAATCTGCCTCGTGCCTCTTCTCTATTGCTCTTGTCTGGAATACAATTTTACGCTGAGGTAACTTCAGTTTACGTCATTAACTGATACTAGAGTGGCTCTGGTCGCAAAAAGACAGCGCAAGCGCCGCATCCATGGTTTCGCCAGTCCACGGCTACGGCACAGGCTTCCTGCGGCCCAAGATTGGTTCTTTAGGTTATAATGGCTGTGCAGACTCTTCTGAATCAGCCATGTTGCAATTTTGACCCTTAGACAATTCCGCTAGAGAGGTAGGGGACGCGCATCTAGGTACCTTAGCTACATCACTACCTACAGTACCTAGCCAAGCACTACTGCCAGCAACCCCATTTGCACACATATATTTATATTATACTACCTTGGGCTTTCACGTGTGCCTGGATATGCGGATATCAACATTCATCACATGGCTATCATACACATATATATACCCGTACCGTTCATGCGGCTTCACTGGTCAACAACTCCATCTGTCTTCACTCACTTATGTCCATCAACTCAACGCCTCTCGCGTTGCACCAAGCGCATCATATCATCAGTCCACGAAACAAGAACCCCAACGCCAACACCATGTCGTGCCGCCAGTCGCCCCTACCCGAATTTCGCCTTCCTGGAGGGCGCGGCGAAGCCAAAGCCCCCGTCGTTAACGGGTTTTACTACGACGGGCTCCGTGACTCGGATAACCACGAGGAGTATAAGGGCCCCCCACCTCCCCTCAACATCGAGGTCAGGAACAAGCACGGCTCTTGGGTCCGCATTTTTCGCGCCGCCTGCCCGCCTCCTATGGAGGCTCTACTATGCCATATTGCCCGCATAGTATCCCTACACAGGCTTACCGTCGAGAATATGGCCGCGACAACATATAATATCCAGATCACCCTGTCGCAGAACCTGACGGAGCAAGAGTTTCACTATATTGCCTACAAGATGGCCAGTGGGGTTGTGGGACAGATAGCGCCGTGAATCCGTCAATAGCTTGGAGGTTGGAGGACTGCATTTCAGGTTACCAGATTGCCTCTGGGACCAGGCGTTGTCAAACTTTTTGTTATTTATTTTTGGAGATTTTGGAATGCCCCATGTGGAGGGCAAAGTATTGTACCTAGGAAGCATAAATCTGTCTGACGAGAGGAATGAACTTCATTTTCTGTTGCGTGAAAAATCGTGACTCGCCTACAGTGTGTAGGTGTTATTGTGCATCACAGGCCCAACATCGCAGTTGTAGCATTGTCGGCCACACCGATAACGGCCATGCTTGTAGATCCATGTCTGCACCCGTTCCCTCTTCAGCATAGGATGCAAGGTGCCGACATCATGTTTCTTGAAAATCGCCAGCAAGAAAAGCAAAAAACAACACAAAACAAAACGGTGACTCGAGCAAGAGTAAACTCTGCAAAGAGGTACCCTCATATCCTCTCACCTAATAATCCTGCAATACCTTACAACTTATACCTACCTTAGGTAAGTATCAGAAATGGAAGTCACGAGTCATGTCTGTCCACCCCTTCCTTACAACCCCTGCCCATCAAACAACCCCAATCCACTTCCATATATATACCGAATCCGCAAACAATCCACACATCAAAACATGAACCACCCAACCAAGCCCGGCTAGCTCAATCGGTAGAGCGTGAGACTCTTAAAGAGGAGAATTTCACTCATCTCAAGGTTGTGGGTTCGACCCCCACGTCGGGCTCAATTCCCGAGGGTGGTGGTTCTTTTTTTGTTCTTGCTTCCTCACCCCTTGCTTGATCTGGTTGGTGTTTCTGTTTTTTCCCTTTGCTTCTTTTTGCACCCAGTCGGCATCAACCCCCCCCCCTCTTAGCTTCCTTCCGTCTGAAGGAGTGCAGGTAATGATCCTTGTTTTGTGGAAGTAGGGGATGGCCCTCTAGCCCTGGCTAAATACAGGCCCTGGACTCATGCGTGCCTTCCATCTTGTCTGGGGTGCTCTTTCCTGGTCCTACACGTCTCTTGACATCCTTTTGACCTTTCTCGTTTCTCAGTTCCTCTCCCAAGGTCTTCTTCCCCAGGTCATTGAAGACAAATAACCGCTCAATAAAATTCTCTATATGCCGAATATGTATGATACAAAAATCGTATATATGCTCCCTACCACTTCAACCAGAACCAGAATCACATCTACGGCTTACCACCCCTAGCCACCCGGATCGGATGACACTCCGTGTTATACACAAACTCGTTACCTCCCGGATTTGCCTGAACCTGCCACACGGCATCCTATATAATCATGTCAGCACCTTCACGTTCCAAAAGAATAGGTCCAGGGAAAAAACACTAACCTCGGCATGGATCAGATAACTATACTTCAACACCTCGGCAAACCAAAAGCTCTCCTGGAAATCACTGAAACCCCCACCGAGCGGCGCATTCACATCATTCACGCTCGAATACCCGCTGCCGACCCGACACGTCCCGTTGATGGCGAGGAAGGCGTCCCACGCCCACTCCTGATACTTGGCATCGCCGGTCGCGCGGTACGCATAGTAATAGCTCTCAATCACCTCCGGGCGGAGCACGTAGTTGGGACTGTCGATCCAGAAGCCCGAGGCGGCGTAGAAGTCTTTCATTCCCGACGGCGGCGCCGGGTTGTTGGACGCGTTGAGCGGCGTCCGGCTGTCCTGCCACCGGAACGTCTCCGGACCAATGTTGGTCGACGTCGAGATGTACGTGTTCCGGCACGAGTCGACGAGCTCGAGGCCGAAGGTGATGTACTCGGGCCGGTCGAGGAGGATGCCGCCTAGGATGAAGTTGCCGCCGTTGAAGCAGGCCACTTTTTTTTTGTCTCAGTCAGTTTCTCTGATGAATTGAGATAAAGGGGAAAAAAGGGGACGGGAAAAGGCTTACAGTGCTCCCCGTAAAACTGCAACGTCTGGTTATCCCACATGGCGAGATACGTCAGGTCCGGCCGCGAGGTCGGATGGGACACGAGGTACTTGATCGACGAGTCGACGGCGGCGGTCCACCGGTCGCGGTACGTCGGGAACCGGACGGGATCATAAAGGTACATCTTGATGAGGTACTCGTAGAAGCTGTCGTCGCCGCCACCCCATCCTCCGCTGCCGTCGACAAACTTGCCCGTGGTGATGTTGACGTCGGTGCCCAAGAGACCCGGGAACGGCTCGCCGAGTTCTCTGGGCTGCGGGTCGAGCAGGTAGCCCTCTCCGCGCTGCGCGAGCTTGGCGTACTCGGGGTTCCCCGTCAGGTCGCTGAGGCGCGTCCACTCGAGCACGAGCGTGCCGATGGTGGCGAGGCCGTTGGTCTCGGACCCGACCCGGCGCGGCGGGTCGAAGCGGAGATCGTTGTCGGGCACGCCGGAGGGGGTATCAAACGCCACCTTGAGGTTGTCGGCGAGGTGGACGGCCTGCTCGAGGATGGCGCTGAGGTCTGACGGGGCAAAGGTATGGCCCGTGGCGTTGGCGGACATGAGATCATATGCTTTTTTGACCGTTATTTCTCAAATCTTTTTTTTAGGGGAAGAGAAAAAATACCGGAGAGCAAACCGCCGAGATAGCGGATGGTCGTCTCGAACAGCGAGACGTCGTCGGTGGTCTTGGAGAAGTCTATCTTGGGGATGTACTGGACAATCTGCTCGACGGCGTCCCAGTTTTTCATGACCAGCGCCGTGCTGATGGCGTCGATGGCGCTCGCGCCCCAGCCGTTTCTGTTTCTGTCAGTCGTTTTCTTTTTCTGGGAGAAACGGAGACATACCTGTCATCGTAGTACCGGTTCTTGACGGGCCGCAGCGAGTCGTGCGGGAACGCATACTTGGAGTAGCCGTCCCATGAGATCTGAAAAGCTTGCTTGACAGCGTCGGCACGTTCTTGGTTGACCGTGTACTTGGGCGGGCCGGAGTACCGGGGTACGTTTTGTTTGGGTTGGTTAGCCCGTTGGGAATGGAGCTTGTTGGGGGCGGCAGTTGCCCCTATGGACCCGAGTGTTGCCACGAGGGCAACTGTTGATATTAGGAGCATATTTATGCTTTTTAAGCTGCTCGGGGCTCAGGTCAGTGAGGCAGTATTGTCGGTCGAGCCAGCAAGCAGTTTTTGTGCTTCTGACAGTTTAGATAGGCGAGTGAAATGGACTGAAGGAGAGAAAAGACAGGCTCAAGGGGTGTCCCGATCAACAGGCTTATCCTTGGCGTGGAAAAGGAGTGGTCTATATATCTACCGGTTGGCCGGGACAGGATGGCAAGAATGAGAGTTAGGAGCCCCAGAGACAGAACGACAGAAAGTAACGAGAGACGGGGAGGCGGAGAGCAACTAGGAAACCACCAGCCCAGGAGAGAAACTGGTAGTCGAGTAGGTATGCTGACCGACAGGGTTGACAGTTAATAAAAACGAGAGGAAGGAGACGGGGGTAATTGGGTAGCAGTGGACTGGATGGCCGCGGACGTGTCGTTGCATGCCAGCCTCCTGAATACTTGGGTCTACGGTCTACAGAGTAAGTCTTGGACGAAATGACAACACAAGACGAAGGCAGAGAGAGCCATGGTAACTGTTGGACGGCATGGCATGCGTGTTCTGCGTTGCGCGTGCGCGTGCGCGTGCTCTCTGTCTGCTGTGCCCATGTGCTTCTGTATGGCCTGCAGTGGGTGCGTGTGCGCTGGAGCGATGACCATGTCAGTGAGACATTGCTCGCCGATCGTTATTCTGTCTCCAGAACAGACGTCGAGAGAAAAGGGAAGAGAAATGGTGGATGCTGATTGGTCAATCGGCCCTGGTACCTGCCGAAATAAGTAGGTGACAGCTCGCGGCCAACGAAAGGTGCAACCGTCGAAGCGTGCATCTGACTCGATCGGACAGAACTTTTGGAGAGGGCGGATAAGATTACAGCTTCGTCGGTCCGCCCATTTGACTGCCGACATGATGCATCTTCTACGGAATGCTTATGCTGTACATATTGCGCAACGCGAAGCAGGTCCCGGGCCGGTTTGGCTGCTGTGCGAGAGATGCACGAGGTGGACGGACAGCAGCAGGAACCGATGCAGTCAGTGTTGATGCTCAGGTGTAGAGTAATCGTGTTTCCAGAGTAGATACTCGGAGAAATGAGGCCGGCACTCTCGTCACATCTTGGCTGGGAAATAACCCGGACCGGTAGTTGAAGGACAAAAAAGGCGGTGCCGATGCAACCTGCTTTTGCATCCCGCACCCTCCACGAGACACACACACACCTCACACCAATAGGACCCCGGGCAGGCACGGTTGGACAAGAGCTTCCAGAACAAGAAGCCCGACACCCTTTCTCGCACATGGTCTCTCTAGTGCCTATCTAGCCACGAGAGCTGTCCTACTTGTTGTATCACGCACCCGGAAAGGGGTAAAGCAAGATCACTGCTTATATTAAACAATGCGCATTCCAGGGCCCCGGTATCACGAAGGAAACAAACACGGAATACTACTGCCGTGATACTTTCGAGAGAACGGGTTTTGTATCGGGAAAGATGTTGTAAAAGTTGCTGCAGAGACTTAGTAGTTGGGATGGCTGACTGTCCGTTGGAAAAGAAGCAACAAAACCCTGCAATGTCATCTATTTGGGCATGGCGACCCGTCACCGCAAAGAAAAGACCCAAGAAAAAAAAACCATCTCCAAGTCTTTTATAGGTAGTCGACTAAGCCACATTTTCCCCCTTCACCAGAATATCCTCCCAAAAAATCCATATCAGCCACCCGACCATCCCACATGGGAAGTTCCCAACCGACGCAGAAACATCACGGGCACAAAACAAGCCACCGCGTTCGACCCGTCACACCGTTACAGCGCATGCGCCTCTCCCGTCTCCATCCCACCCACCCGCACCACCTTCCCTTCCCTACCTTACAACCGTACGCAGACGCTAACAAACAAGCAAAAAAATGCCATGCCGAGTCCCGTCCCGGAAATCTTCCGTCGTGATGCCCTAGCTAACCCCTAACCTAACCTAACCCCCAAGGTACCAAGCTAAGGACGCTTCTCAACGTTTCTCGCCGACGACTTCTCGCCGAGCTGCCGAAGGCTGGCTGATAGAAAATCCTGATGACAGACTACCTTGGAACGGCCCTCCAGGGGCCCAAAAAAAGGAATGCTCATTCTATTCTATGCTGTCCGTCTGTCACGTCACATAACCATGTCTCACTCAGGTCCTAGCTGGCAAAAATAGGTGGTTATTCCCGATTTCATGGGACTCGAAATTTTGCAACTTTCATCAACTCAAGTTATGAGTTCCCATTACGGATTATAGCCTGGATATGGTAAGTGGTATGGGAATGGAGTACTAAGAGAAATCAACCCTTCTCTCGAAGCCTCGCCAACGCCGCCGCGATGCCCTCACTCAGTCCCTCCTCCGAGTTACCACCACCACCACCACCACCACCACAGCCAGTCGTCGCAGACCCCATAGCCGTCGACTTAGGCCGTTCCATCTGCTTTCCCGACCCCCCCGTCTCCGCAGCAGCAAACAAAGCCTCCACATCCTCATCCTCATCCTCATCCTCCTCATCATCCTCCTCCCGCTCACGCAGCTGCTGCTTCCCCCTCCCCCTCCCCCTCCCATCCGCCGCCGCCGCCGCCCCCGCCCTCTGCGTCCCCCCATCCCTCCCATCCCCATCCTTCCCTCCCCTCCTCTTCGCCTTCCCAACCCGAAAAGGCTCCTCAACAGCCCGACACCAAGCCCTAACCTTCTTCTCCCCAAACCCACCC